CCATTTCATCAGTGAACAACCTATTGTTAGTGTTCTTATAAGGGCCGCATCCAAAACCAATTTGCGCTAATGCAATTCTATCTGCAATGACTTATATAAATACAAGTCTATCTGCAAAGAATCGATAGTGGGCGTAATTTACTCTTCTTGTGAACTATAATGTACATAATTAATCACAAAAAAACAAAGATAAAGAAAAGAAGAAAAAAGGAAAATTAAAAATCAATAATAAACATTACCTTGGCGATGGTCCCAATCACACAAACAAATATACATACTAAAAATAGCATTGAGCTCATATTTTATGAGATAGTTGAATATCATGGTTTCAACGACAGCATACACTTCTTTAGTAAACCCAATGTTTTATTGGGGCATGATAACTTTTAATGATACTAAAAGGTGGAGTGTCAGGCCCGTGACAAAAATAAACCAGAAAGGTTGGCTATCAGCCATCACCAACACGTAGGCAAATAGGAAGGTGAAAGTTGACAAATACAATATCTTACCATTTCAGGGAGAGCATGTATATATATCCAAAATGCTCTCAGAGGTCCCTGAAATAGAAGAAATAAACAACACATAGCACAAATAGAGATAAAATCTTCACACTCTTTTCTTGGTTGGGCGTGGGTGATTCGAATCTGGAACTTCCTTTATCCTTTGGGATAACGACCAAACACCTGTTCACCCTAAGGCCGTATGACAAACAACATACGACAATCAATGAAGAAACATGGCCAAGCCACAATAGAAACAAATATTCTTTGATTTTGATTTCTTTAATGACCTGGTCTCTAGTACATTGTGGTTGTGTTAGGTGGTCCATACTGATTACTAAAAGAAGAAGAAGATGTAGAGCAGGGAGGGAAGAACAAGAACAATAACAAGAATAAGCAGTAGAAGAAGGTGTGAAGGAGGCAAACGGGGGTATGGGTGTTTATGTAGTTTGTGAATGAGATTAAAATGGAAAAAGAAGAGAGTTGAAGCATGGTGAAAGTCCAGTAGCCAAAAGAATGATAAAAACATACCTGGTCTCCAAGAAAGTTGCATGTTGTAGTAGAGTTGAAGCATGGTAGCCAAAAGAGGCTCTTCTGAATTTTAAGCTCAGTATAATGTATTTGCAAATAAATAGAAAAAAAACTCAATTAAGAACAATTGACACCAATGGAAAATCCAACCACGCACATCTTCAATAAGATTAAGATCTTTAGGAGCAAAAAGTGAAACGTTGTGCTGAACCCCCAACCACACACGTAGTCAGAAAAGTACTTACAAGTAATAAAACCCAACAGAGCAGCGACCATGTCAACTGGAGGTTTCTCGAAGATTTTGCTTAAAATAATGGGATTCGGGGTCAAGTAGAGAAAGGTGTGTATAATGATGGCATCGTTCTACTTACTCTACTATAGTTTGAAATAAGCACGTGAGCATGGCCCACTACTAGCCATCCTAAAGCTGAGAAGACTAGTAGTTATATAGACTAGGAAAAACCCATGATGGCGCATTGGTCAAAATGAACCAAATTAGTTGAGAAGACTAGTAGTTATATAGACACCCACAATAGGTCTGCTCCATATCTTCTGGGATGCTCGATGATAAGGGGATGAAGCAGGTTAGATTTCTGCCGACAGCTGGGATGAAGCCACACTAGGTTGGATGTCCGCCACCGTTGGTTGCACATGTGGCAACTCTGGAATAATTTAGGCTTTCTATTTCACCAGTGAACAATCTATTGTTGGTGTTCTTATAAGGGCCGCATTCAAAACCTATTTGCGCTTATAGTATTAGATACATGATCCCACATCGGTTTTGAAGTAAAAGGTCTTTTAGTTTATATTAAGAAACATGCTAACCTACTGTCAGAACCAAGGATGTGGGGCGGAACTTGTGAGTGGCTTTGTTGATTTAAGCCGAAATCTCGTGATGGGGATTTATGGTAATTTATGTGAAATTACAAAAATACCCCAGAGGTTTGTGTTGCATTACAATTTATCACAAAAATACCCCAGAGGTTTGTGTTGCATTACAATTTATCACATAAACTTTAAGCCCAAGTCCTTGGGAAATTTCACAATTTGGTTTTGTTTTGGGAGGCCACTTTATTTTTTTTAAAAAAATTATTTTATTATTATTTTTACATTTGTACTCTAATTTAAAAAAAATAATAATATTAACATTAATTTTATAATTAAATAATAATTATTTTTTAAATGACACAATTACCCTTTCAGATTTCCTGTCACTTTTTTTTTTTTTTTGGGCCAAACAATTTAGAAATTATGTATAAGTTGACTATCATGCTTTTGACCAAACTTGAACAAAACAAATTTATAAGAAAATTTTTAAGTTTGATAAATTGCAGTGAATGGCTAGATATAATAATTTTAATTCTTTATGTATGAAAAATATAATTAATAATCTATACAACTACAAAGACAATGCTCCTCAAATTCCAACAAAAGTAAACGATTTGGTGTTACTTCTTACCTTCAATAATTTTGCATTTAATTGACTTTTTATTTATTTATTTATTAGCAATAATCTATATAACTACAAATGCAATGGTCTTCAAGTTCAAACAAATAAATGCGTGAGTTTTTGGTCTTGCCTTCAATAATTTTGCATTTAACTGACTTTTGAGTTTTGACTAGACCAGGTTGGTGCATCACCATTCCAAAAGTTGATAATACTTAAGTCATCCACCTTACATTATTTTAATGGTTGATGTAAATCAATGATAAATGAACATATTTTTTTTAATTACCAAATCAAATAGAGAGATATATATTTACTTACTAAATGAGAAATAAATGATAATTTGATTATCATTTATAATTTGATAATTAAAATAAAAATAAAAAACTTTTTCCTATAAATACCTCTTCGACTTCTCCTATCTTCCTAGATTTTCAATTTCTAGTCCTAGAACTAAGTGGAGCATGTGAAAAAGGGAGAGAGGAAAAAGAAAAACAAAAACAAAAAGAAAAAGAAAAATTATGTGGAGCATGACCAAAAATGCTCGAAGATATATATAAATATTTTGCAATTGTTTTTTCATATTGTGCTATATTAGTAAATACTATAATAAACAAAAATATAAAGATATTTTATCATGACTTTTAAATAATTCCTACCACCTTATTATTTAACCTGATCATATTGTTTTTTTTTCTTTTTCTTAAATACGTGTTGCGAAATTCATTTTGTTAGGCATGAAATTGAAAAAAAAAAATATATAGTTACACCAATTTCAGTTCCATAAAGCCGAATATAGCCTCACGTATTTTGTTGAATTTGAACTAAAATTAAGAAGAAAAAAAAAAAATTATGAACCTCTTTTTTCCCTAAGATTTTTTTTTTTGGGACCTATAATTGTTCTTTAAAATTTCTCGTCAAACTCCGCAAGCATCTCAAAAGATGCTATTACAATTAACTTTATACTCTCTTATATTTGACTTTGAAGGGTAATTGTGCTAGCTATTTGTTGTTAAAAAATAAATGAAGTAGATGTGTAGGGACACAAAATGTTAATCTCTAAATTTTAACCTAAACTCTAATCATTATAGTGCCATGGCTATGGCGGGATCATAATCATGTCTTTAACCTTTTTTTATTCTTTATTTCCTAATACTCAATCGAGAAAAAAAAAATTAAATTAATGCAAACACCATATATTACACTCGAATAAATTTATTCTCATCTTTTGAATTAAATTATCGAAATTTAAATTTTATATAAATAAAATCATCGTGTCAACTTGCTAAAATTATTTAATCTCCGAATTATTATTTGAGTTAGTGGTGTTTGAAATTTATCCCGAATCACATGACTCCAAAAAACCTAATAATGGTTTCTCCTTTTAAAATATATATATATATATAAAGTATTTATTAAGAAGAAAAGTAAAAATCAAGCCAATGTCGTTCTTTTATGTAATGAAATTAATGGTGAGGGAAGCAAACAAAAATAATGGGCCTACATAGTACATAGACGTGGGTCCCATATCTGGCATGAATGTGACCCATATTAATTTTACTAGCCGACCCATATCCGAACCCTTCAATCTTCATTGGCGTGTACAAGTGCTTTCCCATGTTTTAATGTTGCATGGGCCTACTTCGATCGACCGGGTCGCACGTTCCTATCACACGAGACATTACATGGACCCTATTTGGATCCGATCGGGTCACACCTTTCACTATCACGAGACACTGAATTTGTATCGTTCGATTGCAAGACTGGTCTCCTAGTCATTGCATCTGACGACTCTGAAGGCGGATCACCGAAAAGCATCCTCAGCCTAACTTTGTTTCTTCGAAAAAAACAAAAAATTGCTACACCTGTTTCCCGTAGCAAATTATTATGCTTTTTTTCCAACTTTTGATAATTATTATGCTGGTAGAAAAAAAAATTTTGGATGGAAGAAATAGGAGGAATAAATGAGAGACATCTTATGAAGGAAATTGTGTGTTTTTAGTTTTTTTGGTTCTTTTGAATAAAAAAAAGAATTTTTTTAATTATTTTTATCATTATATTTAATACTCTCTCTATTTCAAAGTAAAAATTACTTTTAGGAATTGTGAAGGAGGAAGAATAAATGAGAGACATTTTACGGAAGGGATTGTGTTTGTTTTTTTTAATATTCGGTTGAATAATTGTTTTTTTTATAATTATTTTTATCATTATATTCAATACTCTCTCGATCCTAAATCAAACGTCACATTTAAAAACTGTGAAAGTGACATTTAATTTGAAACAGAAAGAATAATATTTATAATATTATAATTTATAGAAATAATAAAGTAATATAATTTAAAATTTCTATAATAGTCTATTTATTTTATTTTATTATTATTATTATTTTTTTCATTTATTGGAGGATGAATTTTTTCCATTCTTCTTTCTTTCCCGAATAAACAAAGTTGTCTTTGTTTTTTTATATTTTCTCTCATTCTCTTTTCTTATATAATCTCTGCCTATCAAAGAAGTCCATTCTTTCCTATTTTACCTCCGCACCTAGCGGAGTCGCCCAAAATTAATATTCTACGTTTAAAGAGAGAGAAAGTTAGAGAGAGACGCGTCTGTTGACTGTGTTCGATTAACAAAAGTCAGGGTTTTAGCTTTAAGTGCTCCATTACAAGCAATTGAGAGTCTATGCTGTTATTTGCCCTGTTCCACCATTACTAGTCGCTTTCGGAGAAGAGTCAAAGCACAGTTTCAAGACCATCAATCAGTGTTTTGATGCGTTAGGTACGAAATTTTGAACCCTTTTTTTGTTTTCACTGATTTTTGCTTTTTGATATGATCTTTTTTGCTAATTGTACTTTGATTTGCAAACTTCTCTGCAATTTTTGTATGAAATTCGGAGTTTTTCTTTGTTGAATCTATATATATGTAGTGTGTTCTTCTGGTTGGGTGGTGATTGGATGTTTCAGTCGATTGATTCGATCATGCTTGCAGTTTGATTTTCAGTTTGGGTATTTCGAGCTTACATTAGCTGTTTCCAGTTCATTCTTTTTCGAAGTTCGATATGCTGCTATACACTCATGCATTCGCAACTCAAAATGCTTTTTGAAACCGTTGTTTGCTTTCTAGTAGCCGGTTTCATTGTTTCACTAGTGAAATTGGATTACACTTGCGTACCTATATATATATATATAGTCTTATTTTTGAAGCAAATATATTTGGTAATTTAGTGGTAAATTTTACCATGCATGTGTCATTCAAAAAGGGCCGAGTTTTGATTCATATTTCAGCGGTTCTGGTAATGCTTTTACTGGTTTCATGTTTAATGGGCTGTAGTTGAATTTTTGGTTTCTTTAAATGTTAGAAGACATGCCATATCTCATGTTCAAGCGGGTTATATTTGTGTTATTAATTTTTCACATTTTGAGTGGTAATTGGGTACAATACATGGCATCCTAGGACTTTCATATGCATAATCATCATTGTGTGTTTCCCGGTTCTTTAGTTTAGTAATTGGTTTCACAAGCTGGATGGTGAATGAAAGAAAGACGACCTAACTGCTCAATGCTTTATCCGTTTTTTGTTCGATTCTTTCATTTTATGTTGTGGGAAGACACATTAAGCTTACGTGCTAAGTTGCTAACACACAGGCACACAACAGTTCTGCACATGCATGCCTCACATTTCACTTTTGCTTTTACTTTGTGTATTTATTAAACTTTACTATGAAAATTATTTCAGGTGTGGTATGGCATCGAAAATAAACTCCGCTGATAGTAGGACGAGGAGTTCAGTATATATCCTTATAGTAGCTGGCTTGTGCATTTTCTTCTATTTACTAGGAACATGGCAAAGAAGCGGGTTTGGGAAGGGTGACAGTATAGCCCTGGAGATGACAAAGGCTGGGGCAGATTGTAATGTCCTTCCAAATCTGAATTTTGATACCCATCACAATGGTGAAGCCGGTGTTATTGATGATTCCGAATCAAGAGCTAAAGTGTTTGAGCCATGCCACCCTCGTTATACTGATTACACGCCCTGCCAAGACCAAAGCCGTGCGATGACCTTCCCGAGGGAGAATATGATTTACCGAGAGAGGCATTGTGCTCCTGAGGACGAGAAGTTACATTGCCTTATTCCAGCGCCCAAAGGATATGTAACCCCGTTCCGATGGCCAAAGAGTCGTGATTATGTACCCTTTGCCAATGCACCATATAAGAGCTTGACAGTTGAGAAGGCTATTCAGAATTGGATTCAATATGAGGGTAACGTATTTAGGTTCCCAGGTGGAGGAACACAGTTTCCTCAAGGGGCAGATGCATATATTGATCAACTTGCTTCTGTAATACCAATTCAAAATGGGACTGTCAGAACTGCCCTGGACACTGGTTGTGGGGTATGTTGAGCTCTTTAAATTTCTCTCTAATTTTATAATCTTCTCCACCTCACGTTCAACTCGTCTATTGACAGATTGAATTGGCACTTTTTTTTTTCTTTTCTTTTCTGGGTAATCCATATGATTAATACTCTTAATGATGTGTCATTTTCTGTAGGTTGCTAGCTGGGGTGCGTACCTTTGGAAGAGAAATGTTATAGCTATGTCATTTGCACCAAGGGATTCACATGAAGCACAAGTTCAGTTTGCTCTTGAAAGGGGTGTACCTGCTGTTATTGGGGTCCTAGGAACAATAAAGATGCCATATCCTTCAAGGGCTTTTGACATGGCTCATTGTTCTCGTTGCTTAATTTCATGGGGAGCTAATGGTGAGAATAACATATTACAATAAATTTTGTGTCTGTGAGTGTGGGGAATGCCACCTTTAATAGAATATGGTTCTATTCTTATTTCCATATTTTAGACGTTTACCTTCGTGACTTAGCCTACCCTTTTTCTTTTTGATTTAATGTCTTGGTATTTTCTATTGTTGTCGCATCAGTTTGTGTGATTGTATTTTTGGATTTTTCTCTGCAGATGGGATGTACATGAAGGAAGTTGATAGAGTTCTTAGACCTGGCGGCTACTGGGTGCTTGCAGGTCCTCCAATAAATTGGAAGAATAACCACCAAGCATGGCAGCGTCCCAAGGAGGAACTCCAGGAAGAACAGAGAAAGATTGAAGAGATTGCGAAACTTCTTTGCTGGGAAAAGAAGTCTGAGAGGGGTGAAATTGCTGTATGGCAGAAGAGTAAAAATTCCGATGCATGTCATGCTACACAAGAAAATTTTGAAGCTACATTATGCAAACCTGCAGATGCAGATGTTGTCTGGTACGGCTCTTTACTTGATATTTTATATGAACTTATAATGATTTATATTTCTAATGCTGTGCCTTTGACCAGATTCATTCCATTTTTGACAAATGATAAACCCCAGTTTGGCCCTTGTATGCTTGTTTTTTGCACTTCTGGTTTGAGTTAGTTGCTTAGTACCTGATATAAATTGGAAAAGAATGTTGCATGTCTAATTTTCTGTGCCTTTTTTTGGTGATTATTAGGTACAAAAAAATGGAAGGATGCGTAACTCCATATCCTGATGCTAAAAGAGTTCCTGGCGGAGAACTGAAGGTGTTTCCTGACAGGCTATATGCTGTCCCTCCCAGGATTGCTAGTGGATCTGTTCCGGGAGTCTCTATTGAGGCATACCTGGAGGACAACAAAACATGGAAGAAGCATGTAAATGCTTATAGAAAAATTATTGAAATTATTGACTCAGGAAGGTATCGCAACATTATGGATATGAATGCCGAATTAGGAGGATTTGCTGCAGCACTCGAGTCTCCTAAACTTTGGGTTATGAATGTTGTGCCCACAATAGCTGAGAAAAACACTCTGGGTGTTGTATATGAGCGAGGACTGATTGGCATCTATCATGACTGGTATGGTTTTTAGACCTTTTGTTCCATGTGCTTTAGTTGTTGCGGCTCTAAAGCATCATTTTCATTTTGATTTTCAGCATATATGGTGTGACTTTGATAGAAATGTTCTTTCTCTTTTTGGTTTAAATTTTATTACCATTTTTTTTTTTTTCACTATACAATCGTTTTTATATGCAACTATTTTGGAATTTTTTAGCAATCTTTTTCTCAATTGCATCCAAATGCAAAGGATCCAACAACCATTAGATCAAATGAACACTGGTTAAATAAACTCATCATAGAATTAGAATGCCAGATAATTTTGGGCTATCTGATATTGCCATTGTATTTGGCCAATTAAGATCTTTGAAATCACTAGATCATGAGTACTATTGCTAACCCCCTCCCCTCCCCCAAATAAAAGTCAATTGATGTCTTTTAGAATCTTATAGAAGGGGCTTTCTGTTTTGAATCCTAAGCATGTTCCACATGCTTGGGTGTATTGTACTTCAAAGTTCAAAATCGTGGTGACAAATTTGTTGTATGGGTTCTGCAATTGTTTGGCATAAAATATCAGAATGCAAGAATTAATTGGGTAAATACTGGGATTAGTTTGAAAGTTTTAAAAATATGAAATTGAGGGTAGAATATAGTGGCAAAGTGTTGAAAATCGAATGCTAGTTTAGAATTTTAAATTCTACAATTTTGGGTCTGAAATTACCTTGTTCGCTTGTTACAGAGTGTATTAGTGATGAAATTGGTTTGAGTTTTGGCAATAATTTGATATAGGAATTAGAAATTATTAGTTAAACTTGAATCAGTTTGTTAATCTCTGAATTATGATTTCAGAAGTAGGAATCAAGGGATTGGAGAATAAATGAATGTTGGCTTGTTTTAGAATTTTAAAAGAATAATTTGAGAATTTAAATTAACTAGAGAAAGGTACCCTGTATAAATGTTGATGAAAAAATGGGAACTTTGGTAGAGATTATTTTGGGTGATATGCTTGACACAAAGATGAGTAATTTTGGACTATATTTCAGAGAATATTACTGCAATGTTGAGAATGAACATGTAAATTTTATGTTCAAGAACTGGTTTTTCCGTATGGTTTATGAGAATAAGTATAAATTATTGCATAGGCCACTAGTTGATTCAGAAGCTAATCTGTAAATATTATTCTATATGCTAGTACTATTGTTGAAAAACTACAAAATACTCTCTCCCCTAGCTATGATGCAAAATTATTGTAGGACGAGTTTGGTGTGCAGTAGGGTAGGGTGGGGGCACTAGGACACTATGGTTCGTGGCATACATTGTTTGTGAAACGAGTGTGATTTTGCCCATGTTCTCAAGTTGATTGCTAAATTGGGTGTTGAACTAACTGCTAAGTTGTGAGATTTTAGTTGATGAATGGAAGGGCCATTTGGTCCATCATTGACAATACGGCTCGAAGCACTAGTAGTAGCACAATTTTATTGCTGCAAGCAACTATTATTTTGAGTGCCCCCCACAAGATGGCTACAGCAAACCACCCTAGTAACTAAAAATGTGTGTTTTTGGGTCTGTAATGGATATTGGATATGGAGGTATCAGATAATGGAGGTTTTAGGAGAGTGATTAGGATGAAAAGCAAGGATGAGATAGAATGCAATATAAGCATATTTGTGTGTATGTGTGTATGAGAGAGAGACAGAGTGGCAATAATGGAGAAAATCTTCGAGAATTCCAAAGTCATTGTTGTGCTCCATTTCTCTAGAATTGTCCTAAAAAGATGCTACGAGATAAGGCAGCCCTTTTATTTGTAGGAATACAGGAAAGTTGACCACTTGAACCTAGCTGTGCACATGCAAGGGTAACATGACCATATGGAGATATCGGTTAATCATAGGAGAATAGCCTCAGCTGTGGTGTCATGCGCATCATGTGATGAACATGTCTTATAATATGCATGGTATCATTCTCCCTCTAATATTTACCAAGATAACACCCTGACATAAAATTCAACTGGAGAAATCCTTTTAGTTGTGTCATAGAACCTGTAAGTTCCATTTTAGACCCTGGTGCAACTCCTGAGGTCAGACCATTGAGTTTGAGGAGTGCCCTGGACAGTTCAGTTGACACAGCAAACCTAAGATGCATCAGGGTACATAGGTATCCAAAGGTAGCTTTTGTAGGGTGTGCGGTTGAATAATTGCGGCAAGAGATTAGTGGAAGATATAGTTCAAGGTAATGAGTGGGATCTCCAAGTAGGAAATAACTTTGCTTTTGCCACCAGCCTAGGTCAATGAAAAGATGTTTCTGCATGCCAATCAGTTAAGGCACATGTTGGGAGAAGCAACACGTGGCGAGATACAGACACACCACTTGGACTGCTATGCATGGAAGGACACGGTGAGGCAAGATTGTGCATGAGGGTTGCTCTCCTCAAGACATGTAGAGAGGTGGGGTCTGGCGCCCACACCAGTCTTGATGAAAAATGAAGTTGTTTAATATTAGGTTTGACCGTCCATGATTTCTTCTCCTTCATGTAGAAGAAAAGGAAAGGTGTAAGAAAAGGAATTAAAATTAAAAAAGAAGATTCCATTTTTGTTTCTGTTAGTCAGTCTATTTATAAAGAATAAAGGGTTTTACCTCGACTTTGATTCCATGACAACGTGCACAGTATAAATGACCTGGCATGGCTGGGGAAAATTTTTTACCTCCTTTTTATTTGAGGAATTCACTGTTAGTTGTTCATCTACTTCTCCTTTGTGTAATCCTTCAGAATTGAAATTTTATTGTATCTTTCTTGTTCAGGTGTGAAGCTTTCTCCACATACCCAAGGACATATGACCTTATTCATGCCAATGGTGTTTTCAACTTGTACAAGGATAAGTAAGTATCTTTTAGTTGCTGTGCCTTGAATTACTGGATGGATTTTTATGGCTCTGGTGGTTCTGGCCTTCATTTTTAATGTCACAGTTACTGTTTTCATATGTCACATTATTTTTTATCAGCATGGGCACAACAACAGTTTGGTGAATATTATAATTTTTGCAACTGACTTGAGCTCAACTAGCTCTGTTCAAGCTTTTATTAGTTATGAATATAGGTCCAACTCATGGTTGTTCACATGCCTTACTGATCGTGTTCAATAGTAGGGGTTGTAAGCCAGTGTTGTCTTTGTTAATCAACGGTGTTGGGAGGGGCACACTCAATACAAGCCTAATCTTTTGGCCATTTTGGTTAAAGTGTAATTCAATATATTTCCATATCTGATGATCCTATCTATACCAGTTCATATTGGTGATTAAGGCATGCTTTAAATTCTAATTTGTTGCTTGTTATGCTGTCTTTATGTAACAACTATATTTTTAGACTTTTCATTTAGGGATTTTTGCATTTGACTTCAGTTTGGCTTGTTTACTATGTACTAAAAAAAACACTCTTAATGAGCTGAACTTGATATGCTCTTTAAAAGTTTACTCATTTAAGCTTTATAAGCGTGGATGCGTGGTGATACAAGATGCCTAATGTTGAAATACATGATTATTCAGCGGAATCATGAAGAAAATGTGATGTGATTGCTTTGGAATATCTTACTGGATATTGATTAGATCTTCTAGATCAGTTGCACGTATCCTTGTGTATTAGTCTTATTATACTTGGCGAATCCAACTGTTTTATTTCAGTTTGTCAATTTTTATTTTGGATTCTATGCCATTTTTTGTTTGTGTTTTACTAAAGTCAATGCAGATGAAATATTCATCCATATTCTGATCAAATAAATGCAGATGTAATTTTGAAGACATTCTGCTGGAGATGGATCGGATTTTGAGACCAGAAGGTGCAGTTATATTCCGTGATGATGTTGATGTGATAATCAAGGTCAAGAAGATAGTAGGTGGGATGAGGTGGGATACTAAAATGTGGGATCATGAGGATGGTCCCCTTGTTTCTGAGAAGATATTGGTCGCCGTCAAGCAATATTGGGTTGCTGGGGAAAACAGCACATCAGTGCTGTGAAAGCTACAGAAAGAAGCGGAACCCTGGTTCGATTCCAAGCTGGCAACGCACCTTCCTCTTAGGCAAGCCCATGCATATTCTTTTTGACCAGTGTGCATTTTTTTATGGGAAAGGGGTATACCGTAGGGAGGAGACTCCCTGATATATGTTTAACCTCATATTAATTTAGCTTGTGTTCTCTGTATAAGTTATAAATGATATTTGCTCAAGCTCATGAAAAATACTGGCTCCCTGAAAGGCTAGTAAGATTCCTCAGATCCCTTTTTCAATTGGTTAAGATTCTTTTCCTCTATCTCAAATCTTTTTGTCTGTTACATATATATATATAATTGCTCCAATTATGCAGTAATGATATCATCTCTCTTGTTCACAGCCAAAGTAGTATATCTCACTTAAAGCAAATCAACAAGTATGCAACAGTGATTGCTGGTTGCTTTTGACAGTGGGTGGATGGCATAAAAAAACTAGTTGAAAACTATTTACAGGCCTCGAGTACCTGCATGCACAAGGGCTTGTACACGAGGCTTTTGTCACTGTGCGGTTTGTTGTTGAAAACTATTTACAGCAGAACTATTCGAAAACTATTTACAGGCCTTAAGTACCTACATGCACAAGGGCTAGTGCACGAGGCTCTTGTCACTGTGCGGTCTGTGTAGGGTTAGATGCTCTCGTCACTGTGCGGTGCGCGGTTTGTGGGCTAGTACACGAGACTCTCGTCATTGCGCGGTCTGTGTAGGGTTAGGTGTATAGGGTTAGATGTATGCAAGGTAGTTGAAAACTATTTACAGGCCTTAAGTACCTACATGCACAAGGGCTAGTACATTAGGCTCTTGTCACTGCGTGGTCTGTGTAGGGTTAGATGCTCTTGTCATTGTGCGGTGCGCGATCTGTGGGCTGGTACACGAGGTTCTTATCACTGCGCGGTCTTTGTAGGGTTAGATATATGTAGCCTAACTTACATACGCATCCAGTATTTGCATTCATTCATGAATAACTTAATTGATAAATAAGCTAGGTAGCTGCAATCAGTTAAAACTACAATCTGATTCTCATATAGTGACAACTCCAATCAGTGATAACTATAATCTGTTTGGTTATGCACATAGCCAGTGTGAGAGCTAAAGATCAACATATGAATATTTTAAGCACACAATGAACTAGAATTCTAATAAAAGATCAACATATGAATATTTCTCATATAGTGACAACTCCAATCAGTGATAACTATTATCTGTTTGGTTATGCACATAGCCAGTGTGAGAGCTAAAGATCAACATATGAATATGTTAAGCACACAATGAACTAGAATTCTAATAAAAGATCAACATATGAATATTTCTCATATAGTGACAACTCCAATCAGTGATAACTATAATCTGTTTGGTTATGCACATAGCCAGTGTGAGAGCTAAAGATCAACATATGAATATTTTAAGCACACAATGAACTAGAATTCTAATAAAAGATAAACCAGGGTTAGGACACTCTCACTAATTCATCCATTAATTGTTAATTTTATTTTCTTTCCATATTTTTTGTTAGTCTAAATAAGAAAGTGATTTATTTAATTCTGAATTGTATTTGCTGCAACAACAAAAAAACAAAGAAAAAGAATAACAGTTGGTCCCGGCGGGGCTCGAACCCGCGACCTTCGGCTCATAAGACCAACGCTCTAACCAACTGAGCTACGGGACCATTGACACCACCCTTAATTTGGAAATAATAGTATATCATATATACACACAACTATCAAGTGAAGGTGGGGGTCATAAACCAAGCATGAATTCAAATACAATTGCGACAGATTCCTAACCTCATGTTATAACATGGGACCATTACAAACAATACTAACAGCACGTATATAATTTTTAATTTGCTTTTGAATATCAATTATATATATACTAGACACAACTGACAAGGATGATAAGTTTTTGCAATAACAAATTTGAGTATGGCACTATTGTATGATGATCATAAAAAAAAAGATAGAATAAATTACATTGATATTTTTTGAGATTGGACAAATTATATATGGGTAGACAATTTATTATTACCTTTATCTTCCTTCAATTTTAGATTGTGTTGTCAGTGATACCCCAACTTTTTCTTTCTGGCAGCACACCTGTCGCCAAATTTTATAAAATATCAATTTTAATCTTTCCTTGTATAAAAATTTTCCTTTTAGGTTTGGACAAATCATATGGGTTATGTGAATTTTCATATTAATAAATATTTGTAATATAATATATTATTATATTGTAACATAAGGGCCTACTACTTTTCAAACTCGAAGCCACCTTCTGGCATTTGGCTAATACGCCCTACAGTCTACCGTGTGTAATTTGTTCAAACTTTTGGAGAGGTCATATATTATATTGTGATATAAGGGCCTACTACTTTTCAAACTTGAAGTCACCTTTGGCATTCGGCTAATACGCCCAACAGTCTACCGTGTGTAATTTGTTCAAACTTTTGGAGAGGTCATGTAATTTACTCGAAAAAGTAATACCCTATTGGGAAGGCAGTTATGGTCCTGTTTGTGGAGCGTTGGGATGATGGAGAAGCTAGAATCAGGCCAACATTTAGCATTATTCTGCATTAAACAACCGTTTTTTTTTTTTTTTTTTTTTTTTTTTTAACCCGGGATATCTGGGAAGTCACGAACCCGAAGGCCCCTCAATAACCCAACTAATCCCTGAGGATTCGGAATAACATCTCCCCACCTGGATAGGGTAAGTCACTGTAGGGACAATAGAGGCCAGCGGCAAAGAACACTCAGCGGGACTCGAAACCTAAACCTTGGGTATGCAAAGCACCAAAATCTAGCAACCAAACCGTTGGGTCATATCCGAAGTGGATATTAAACAATCACTTTTCTACTTATACACCCATCTTTATGCTCGTTTGTCCAAACATTACCATTACACCAAGTAATGACACAATTATATATAGGATAAAGTGCAAAAAAAACCCCCTCAATTATATCTAAATTTGCAAATAACCCCCTCAACTATATCTAAATTTGCAAATAACCCCCTCAACTATGTCTAAATTTGTAAATAACCCCCTAAACTATGTTTTGTGCATAAAACCCCCTAAACTATCACATTTGGTTGCAAAATGCCCTATTGTCTTTACTTATTTTTCATTAAATGACCATAATACCCTTTCTTATTTAATTACACTTGATATATTTTTCTTGTTAAAATAAATTATGAAAAAAATTCATACTAATTTGATGAAATATTCTCCATTAAATTTGCATAAGTTTGCCTTTAATTATTTAAATAAAAATCTTAAATATAATTTTTTTAAATAATTTAAGTAATTTCTTAATTTTCATGAATATATTGCATTAAAAAGAAGATAATTTTTATTTATGTAATTTATTAATTTTTCTTGAATATTGTTTGAAAAAGAAGATATTTTTTTATACTATTTTTTTTAAAAAAAAGTGAGTATAATAAGTTTTATTATAATAAGTAAATCATTTTAGAAAATGATAGCTACAACTTTATTTATTTATTTTTCATCTTTATAATCAATTGATACTAATTATAAAATTAAGGTAAATGGTATAATTAATATTTAAATAAGAGAAAATAAAATAAAAAATAATTTAATAAGAAATGACAAATTTAATAACAAAGGGTAAAATAGTCTTTTGTGATGGTTTTGTCCTTAATTACAACAAATCTATAGTTTAGGAGGACAATCTTTAGTTCAGGGGGTTAGTTGCAAACTTTACCCTTATATATATTATAATCATGGAACAAAAAGGACCAATACCTTTAAAAGACCACACTATGGAGCACGGACACGGGACACGGGTATGATACGACACGGATACGGTGATACGGCAAATTTTAAAAAAATAAGACACGGACACGGCGGGAATACTCCTATATATATATATATATATATATATATATATATATATATATATATATATATAATTACTAGAACCTTGCACATTCATTTTCCTAATAACAAACAGGTATATATATGTACAAAATTGCAAATAAAATAACAACAAATAACATGACCAATTTTAATAATTTCATCTCTGTTATAAGAAAAATATAGACAAGATAAAACAGAAAATAAATGAAAAATAAAGTTGATCCAAATTACAAACGAAGATGTGTAGAAAAGACATAGCTATAATGAGCTAAATATGTTTATGAATAATATACTTTCAGTCTTTCACAAAGTCTTGTTCATGTAACTTAAATAAAAAATAAAAAAAAAAGTCTTGTTCATGTAGAGAGATAATTGAAGAAGAGGAGTGACTGAGAGAGGAAGCGAGAGAAAATAAATTTTCTGTGTAATACTCTGTTGTCTGTAGTTGTTTTTTTTATTTTTTCAAAATTTTACTTTGAAACTTTTAAAATTAGTAAATTACATTAGGTACCCCATTTTTGATCAGGTAGATTCCAATCTTGTCACTATTTGTGGCATGGTCTGCTGTATCATTGATTGTGAACCTATGTATCTAAGCAATTTGCATAGATAAATCACTAACCTAATAATCAGAACTCATATATACATAAATTGCTTTTTGTCAATGTTTTTACCAGAGTTAATATTTATTGACAGTTTCCTCCCACCTGTTATTTATATATATATATATAAAAGCAATTGAGCCTCAAGCATAAGCAGATGGACCTACCTTCTGACCATCCTGCATAGTCCTTAATTTGTACTTATAGTATTGGCTCTCAATAAGCTGTTGAGAAGCTATCTATTTCCTCTTCCTCTAGCTGTTCATCCTTTTTCAGCTTCAAAGCTCCTTCACAAGTAAATTTTCTTCCATTTCCTCTCCTTCACAAAACCTCTCTCTCTCTCTCTCTCTCTGAAGTACTATTTCAGTATTTCTTGTGTCTCTCTCAGGATTTCAATTACTAAATAAACTCTCCTTGTTCTTTTTCTTCTTATGCTTGGTCTCATAATTTCTAGAATTGGTTATTTATCATGTTCTCTTTGTAGTTTTCTGCTGCTTCTGCGTTTTTTTTTGGTCGGGTACTTTCTTCCTCTAAACATAGCATAGTCATGGCAATGGTTACGTTGACATCAACCCGCAACACCAATCTCTCACAAACCTTATCCTTAGAAAACCACCACCACCTCCGCGACGCCTCCTTTTCTTCATACCTAAATGATGCTGAGAATTCATTGACCACCACTACGCATGAGCACCTTTCCTTGGGAGGAAAGAAGATTGAAGATGGAGAAATTGACGTATTCGGAGCTGAGAAATACTTCAACGAAGGAATGGATGAGGAGAATCCAAGAATTTCCGACAAGGGTGCAACAAGGTACCGGCATCATGAGAAGGATGAAGCGGTTGATATAGGCCCCAGAAAACCAAAACCCCAACTAGGAACTCAGAGTGTTCCTTCTGAATCAAGTCGGAACAGCCAAAGCATGTTATTGCATAGTGTCCAGAGAAATTTATCGCGAAGAAAGACAAACAAGATACATCGTGGTAAGAGTTTCTTTGCGAGTCTTGGTTGCAATTGCTCTTGTAATGACAAGGACTCTCTTGATATTGATGAGCATGCTTGCGAAAACAATTCAAGCAGAGGCCTAAAGTGTGGGGTACTTCATGGCAAAACAACCGGAAAAGGAACTGTCAAAACTGGCCTTGTTTCGATTGATTTGGCTCCAATCAATAAATCCCATATGGATGCATCTCTGAAGGAGGACTTGAATTCTAGGAGAGGAAAGCTGGCAGTTGAAATGCAATCACAAGAAGAGGAAGAAGACGAACCGCGAAAGTCACTAGAGGTGTTTGGCTCCCCTATCTTGGAGAAGGGAAAGAGAAGAAATTCAAGGGTTGAGAGGAGATTAGCCGCGTTGAGTTGGGATGCAATTCCAAGGGTGGAAGAAACCGAAATCTCAGCAAGTTCTGTTGGAATGGACAATGATACAGAAAGTGATGCAAGCTCAGATTTATTCGAGATAGAGAGCTTCACAAACAATGCCAAGCCTTTTCTTGCTAGGCAGGCCTCTGCAGGTTGCATGTCTGGCTATGTCACCCCAACCACTTGCTATGCTCCAAGTGAAGGAAGCATAGAGTGGACTGTTGTCACTGCCAGCGTCGCGGATTTCTCAGTGATGTCCGATTCTGAGGAGCTAAGAACAGCAACAAACTCCACAAATCTCAACAGAATGGTTCCAGCTGCCAAAACTGCTCCAAGCAAAGAGATACAGAAGCGACTACCGAGTCTGCTGAGCTGCAAGAGCCACAAATCTGTGAGAATTGCAGGAGATGCATATAGAACAAGTAAAACTGCAAGTCCTGAACCAAGAAGGCACCACAGGTCAGCCTCCTTTGCACCGGTGACAAGGTTTCGAGCTGAAACTAAGCTGACAGGCATTGATTCCAGAAACCGCGCACAATCTGCACGCGCTTTGCATCTTTTGCCTATTCACTAACAAAGAATTGCATCAAATATACGAAAACTTTTCATTGTAAGTTGTATCGAGTATGGTAGATCTTTCACTTCACTTGTAGTGGCAATAATTTGCAGCCCAGGTTGTAGTTCATAATCAAAGCTTAGAATCTATTGATGTTTTTTGGGTGTATTCATTTGGTTTATTCAAAGTTGCTTCTGAGTACAGAGGCGTGTGTTCACAACTCACCCATAAAAAGGCAAAGTCGCTTTAGACATTCTGCTGTTCTATGTGATACGGAGAGAGCTATAAATTGCAGATTTTAATTCTCGTGCAATTTGAGCTGTTGAAATGTGGTCCATAATTTTTGTGAGGACCACCATTAGGAGATAGAAATGGTGTCATTGTCTAATGCAATGTAAAAGTTCGGTTTGACAAGAGTAAGGTCTCAGGGTATGAGGCCGAGAGGAACATACACCGATGCACCATAAAGTTGGTACACTGTCATATTTTCCTCCTTTACATAAACCTCATTCCAACTCAACAGTAAAACTGCTTCACCGTGATTTAAAGGTCACTGGTTCAAAACGAGAAACAACTTCCACGAGGAAAGACTGAGTACATCTGATCCTTTTCCAAACCTGCAATAGCGAGACCCTCGTGCAGTGAATTATGAAACAAGAACGTTATCAACATCACCGGTATTTTTACGGAGAAGTTCCATGCTAAGAGTCATTAATTCTTCACCTTTCACAGTACTTGAAAATGACACAAACTATGGTTGTGTTCTTGAGCATGAAATACCAAAATGAAAAGTGCTTTCCAGCTACCTAAAAAGACATTCTTTCATACCCTTTTAAAGCTCTCCACTAACACACATTAAATTTACAGAAATGCAGGGGGACCAAAAAGAACTAATGTTTGCAATGACGGGTCAAGCTTTTCTACTTCATACCTGCTTCCAAGTGATAAATTAAAGTAGGTGAGGTGAGGAGGTAGCTTTCAAACTGAACTCCAATCTCGTGAGTACTCATAAATTTTAAAGGAATGTTGTATGGACACGTTCCATATGTTGTAGTCACATCAATTTGGACTTTTTTTTCCCCCCAGAAGTACAAATTGTTCCAATCAATTTCATAACCACTTTAAAAATAAATGGGTTCATGATCTTACACCACTCATTTCATATCATACTAATTTAGTAAATGGTATTGGCATTATAGCAAGGAAAATGACAAACATCAAGGATTAATACACATTTAATGAGAAACTTATAATACACTTCTAGTAAAAGAAAATTTCTTATTTTTTTATTTAAACAAATGTGAATAATGTGTATAACAATAAAAAATCCCTACACATTTATAAGTAGCATAAAAATAGGTAGTTATATATATATATATATATATATATATATATATATATATATATATTAATTGGTTCGGTTCAACCATAATTAACCCCAAACCATAATTGAGCATCGTAAACAAACGATCTTCTTTTTATTTTTTGAATTGAAACTGGATCGAATTGTACAAAATTGTACCCCTAAAATTATTGCTTTAGAACAAATCTTTGTACTTTTTTTTCTCTTTTTAATCGTACTCTTCTTCTTTTTTAATTTTTTTTTTTTAAAAATTTTTTCTTCAACAAATTTACATTTCCTTCCGTTAATCAAATCCTAATTTTTTCCCTCCAAAGTTCTTGCATATTTTTAATTTTTTTTAAGAATTTTTTTTTCTTGCATGATATATACATGTGCAATGACCTTCCCTCTTTTCTTACTCTTTCAATTTGTTATTAAATATTATACATTTACGGTTTTTTGACAATCGTTTTTTGCTAGCAAATTAGTGAAAAATAAATAAATCATGAAAACATATTTGGTAACATTATGTCATTAAACAATACTGCATCTACTTCATAAAAATACCCAAATCTAAAAGAATAATAATAAAAAAAGTAGTGCATTTTCACTTATTTTTGCTACTGTAGTTGAGCAACTCTAATGAGATTTTTTTTAAAAAAAAAAAAACAATAAAATGTAAATATAATTTTTTATGAAGTATTGCAACACATTAATTGCCATATATATTTTGTTTCGGAATAAATCACAACACAACAAAAATTATTGTTTCCGCTTCATATGAAATAAAAAATGAAAAACAAAAAATTGTTACCAAAAGTTTCTTAATGTCCCTTTATGTTTATAATTTTTTTTTTTTTTTAATTTTATTTTATAGCAAACCTTTTTCATGAATTTGTTTCTAAAATTTTGTTTACAACAAATTACTATTTCATGAATTGTTTTTATACATTAGGTACTAAAGTTTTGTTTCTCGAATTCGTGTCTTGTTACACTCTTGGTTGATAAAAAAATTGCTACACTCGTTGATAAAAAATATATTTTATCATGTGTTAATATGCCACAAGTGAAAATTAATGTTAGGGAGAGTATAAAGATTTTATAATATTGGAGACGTTAGTCGGTAAAATGTAGAAATTTTTATAGATATAGATATTAAAGGAAAGTCTAGATAAAGTATGATCTAAATGGTAGATATGATGATTAAATAAGTGAGAGTTTCAGTTGTAACAACAAGCTTCAAGAGTAAGAAACTCTAATGTTAAGACTGTAGCAAGTATTTTCCCTCTTGCTAATCAAGTATTATGTGTGGCTAAGTATTGTGTGTGAGGGTGCATAGGGAGTTTTACTAGGAAACTTTACGAGCCACGAATGAGAGTGGTTGGAAACTCTATCTAAGTTTCATAATTGAAGGCTACACCTATTTCAACTTGTAACCTACTAGTATGGATCAAGTCCTTACCAAAGATACAATCCTATCAAGCGGCATGGATAGGGCATGGATGAGAGTGCTTTTGCGAGTATTGCACGATTGAATCTAGATAGTTTAAACTTTAATCCTTAATAGAAGGCTACACAGATAATTGAAACTCTAAGGCATGTTTGGTGTGGGTGAATGGAATCAAATCAGATGGAATGAAATACTTTTCTTTCCATTCTTGTGTTTGGTGTGGGTTATTAAAGGTGGAATCATCATTCTCCACTATTTTCAGACAATGGTCATTAAAACAAAACCATTCATTTTCTTTACCAATGGAATGGGCATTCTATTCATTCCCACATGGAATAGGATTAAAAAATTATGACTAAAAAACCTGTTCATTATCTCTTTTCTAAATCCATCTTTGTTCTCTTCCAACCCATCAACATTTTCCAATCCATCGACTTCGAAGTTCCTTCCACAGCCTAGAACCATGGTGACGACAAATGTGGCCGAAGTAAAGGAAGCTATTAGACAATCTAGAAACACTTTTGAGATTAAAGACCTTGGAAGTCTGGATTGCACCTTCAACTCCTTCGACGTTGCCACAATCTTCGTCCCCGATATCAGATCAATTATACTTCTATCCATAATCCAGCTATCTTGCTTTGCCGCCATCATCATCTCCTTTCTCAATGGTGGAACATACAAGACCACAACACAACACAACCCAACCCAGCCGTCTCTCTCGTCTCCAAGCACTGGTTTTACCTTCGTCGTTTGCCTCCGCTGTCTTCCTTAACCGCTGGAGACAGATTCGACTTCCTCATCTCCCTCCGTCTGCCTCTCTCACTACCCTTATCTCACCGCCACCGCCGAAGATGCCTCCCCTTTGTTCGATTACCTTCTTCTCAACATGGTGTCTTCTTGCCTTCTTGCCCTAATCTTGCCCCAATTTCATTTCTTACATAAATTTTTTTTTTTGGTTAATTTTTTTTTTTAAAAGTTAAATTTCTTTATTCATGATAAAAGGGTAATTGGGAGAAATCAATATGAATTAATTCCATTCTAGCTTTTAAATTGGTTCAATCAAACACATGAATGAGAATCATCATTCCATATTTACAACATATTCAATGTTTGCAACCAAACACTAGAATGGAATGGTTATTCCTATTCCATTCTTAGATTCATTCCATTCCCACCCTATTTCATTCTTGCACACCAAACTAGCCCTAATACTATCTTTCAAGAAGTCTTTCATTAAGTACGAAAATTGGTCAAGGCGCCTCTCTCTTTTTCCCAAGTTAACCCTTCCTCTCTTTCAAATCTTCTATACAGCCTCCAGATCCTTTATCGCCATATCCGAGTGATAAAGTAATAATATTTTTTATGACAATTTTAAACAAACATAAAGGTAATAATATATTAGAATACATTTGTGATAAAATTTTAATTTGTATTTTTTTTTTTTTTTTTTGTGAATAAACAAATCTAAAGTAATAATATATTAAGTAATAAAATTCTAGTAATTTGTAATTTTTATGTGAATCATTCTAAGCAAACCTAAAGTAATAATATATTAAACTACATTTATGATAAAATTTTAATGATAGAAAAAGACGATTTCTACTACTTCTATTACACTTTTTTTTTTTTTCTTTATGTTTATATATGATTTTATTACTTAACTAGAGTTTAGCTTTCTTTTGCTGCTAAATCTGATAAACTAGTAGCGTTGCTGTAATGTTTTGGTGCAAGTGGTATCATTTAAGAAAATAAAATGACAAATTGTTTGATGAATAAAAAATCATTCCTAGTTTTTTAGTTTATTGTTTCTAGAGGGACCCAAAAAAAAATTATTGTGGGACCGAAAAAAAAAATTTATTGTGAAGAAAGATGAAGACAAGGGGATGAGCCATGTGAATAATGGGGTCAAGAAATGATATTGAAAACCAGAGGTAGATGAACCATAAATGCAAGAAATGAATATATTTGCAAGAAGTCAAAGTAATCTAAGGAAAGTATTCCATGTGATGAGAACAGCCAGATTAAACACAAGTCTTGACAAGGAGATTCAACAAGGCCAATCTAATAATATGAGTTCGTACATCTTAATCTGCATGGCAAGCTTACGATACCAGGTTGTATATTTGTTCAGACTATTAAAATTTGATAAGAGGTAAAAAAAATAAAATAAATAAAATAAATAAAATAAAATCTATTTTTATGAAAGAAGGTCTAGAGAACGTTACTGTATTATAACCTGGAGATGGTTGGTTTGAAACAGAAATAGCCTAGAGATATGACTGTGTATATCTTACTTTTCAAATTTTGCAAGAATAAGAGCCTCGTGCACTCACCGTGCTGCTTAAAGGTCTAGGGAATGTATAATCCCAATTTTCT